ATAACCGCCCCCGGCGCTGGCTCCGACATCCGCTCCATCGTGACGGTCGACTGGACCGCCGCGCCGGCCGGGTCCAGCTCCGCCACCCTGACCGTCGCGGGCAGCGCCAGCGCCACGGCCACGGTGATCCTGCCGATCGAGAACCCGACGGTACCGGCAGACTTTAAGGGGCATATCGAGGCTAGCGGGGCTGTGTCACTCGAAGCCGAACATTTTGTGGCAGGAGGAAACGAATACGTCGTCGTACCAGACTACGGCCGCACGCTGTCGGGGGTCAAGTTGCCGACCAAGAGCGTGTCGTATGCGCCCGGGAAGGGGCCTGCGCTCACGTACAGCTTCTACACGTTTACGGCGACCAGTTCGGCGTCCTTGACTTTCTATCTCAGCCCGTCGGAGAACGCGAACCCGACGAGTCCGAACCGGTACACGTTTGCGGTTGACGGCGGCGCGCAGACCACGGTGCAGCCGGTCCCGCTGAACGACGGGAGCAGCCAGCCGGCCGGGTGGTCGGACGCCGTGGTCAAGGGGAGTTATGTGAAGAGTGCGAGCTTGGGCAAGTTGGCGGCTGGCAAGCACGAGCTGAAGGTGTGGTTGTTGGAGCCGACCATGGTGCTGACCAAATTGGTGGTGGATGTCGGCGGCGTGAAGACTAGTTTGATGGGGCCGCCGGAGAGCATGATTATATCTTAGTATCTATGTATGTAGCAGGGATAGGAAGTTATTTTGAGGGGGAAATGACCATGTTAGTCTAGGGGTGTTTGTTGTCTGTACCTATGTATGATAGGGAGTGAGTTTGGTAGTCCCGGCCTGCTCCGATCCGGCTCTGGGTTGTGGGGCCGGAACCTCCGGCGAAACCAGTACAGTAAAATGACGTGTATTATGGTCCGTGCGCTCGTAATTTCCATCAAAACTGTCGGCTCTGTAATCGCGATTGTCATCGTTGTCCCAGGTTCCAACCGCCGCCGCGATCTCGGTATTGTCAACGAACACTCCTTTTGACGACTCACTCATCCACTCTTTCTGTGCCTTTATCATTTTCATTTCTGGGTACAATAAACCAAACTTGCCAGTTTCCTTTTTCTGTTTATTATAGAAAAAAAGATGTTTTCTTCCAGCAGAGCAGTCGTTGCCCGGCAATATTTAGCATCACCGTCATTGTCGTCACAGTTTTTGTTGTTGACAAGGCCAACTGTGGCGGCGGCAAGCAGAATAAGAAGAGGGTTCGCGACAGTTCCGCTGGTCTACGACCACCACGCTCCAGCTAAGCCGACAGTCCCAGACGAGAAGACGTCGCCCATCTTGTTTTTGCATGGTTTGTTTGGCTCCAAGAAGAATAATCGGAGTATAAGTAAGTGAGTAACCCGTGTCGCAGTTTGACTCTGTCATGTTACCGTGGGGTTTGGTCTGTGAGGTGATCGGGCTTGTCCGTGTTGTCTAGCTTGGATAAGAGTGCGGGGGGTAGAGAGAGTGAGGGATGGAGAGAGGGAATGAAAGCTAACGGATGATATTATTACAGAGCACTCGCACGAGACCTAGGACGACACGTCTACGCTTTGGTGAGGAGGGTTCTTACCCTTTTTTTTTGGCTGTTTCTTTGTGTTAACTTTGGAATAAGGACCTCCGTAACCACGGCGAATCCCCCCATGACCACCGACACGACTACATGGCCATGGCGGCCGACGTGGTCGAGTTCATCTCGCAGCACGGGCTCGAGCAGCCAACCCTAATCGGGCATTCCATGGGCGCAAAGACAGCAATGACAGTCGCGCTCGGCCATCCGACTCTGATCGCCAACCTGGTGTCCGTCGACAACGCGCCCGTCGACGCCCGGCTCGAGAGTGACTTTGCGCGCTACGTTCAGGGCATGAAGAAGGTCGACGCCGCCAACGTGGCGCGCCAGGCCGAGGCCGACAAGATCCTCGAGCCTTACGAGAAGTCGCTGACGATCCGACAATTCCTGCTCGGCAATCTGCACCGGCCGAAGACCGACGCCGACACGCAAAAGTTCCGGGTGCCGCTAGACGTTTTGGGTAAAGCGCTCGACCATCTGGGGGATTTCCCGTACAAGGATACCAGCCAGGTCCGCTTCGAGCGGCCGGCGCTGTTCATCAGGGGTACTCGGAGCAAGTACGTTCCCGACGAGGTGATTCCGGTCATCGGCCAGTTCTTTCCGCGGTTCGAGCTGGTGGATGTGGAGGCCGGGCATTGGCTGATTTCGGAGAATCCTGAGGCGTTTAGGCAAGGTTCGTTTTTACATTCCTCCTTTCCTGATGTTTTCGTTTCTTGGAGTGTGTCTGGTTGCGAGAGGGGAAGGTCACCTGGTATGCTAACATGATGAATTTAACTTGCGCGCACACACATACAGCGGTGATTAGATTCTTGGAACCAAAAGAGTAGAGAATTAACCATGTATATCTTGATATGATATCTTACATCTGGGTAGGTATGGGTTTACTGCCTTCAGTTGTCTTCCTTACTAATGTGGTTGGGTGCGGCGACTCATCATGCCGCACCGCTGGTCTCGATAACCCGACCCGACGGCCAACCTAGATGAGGAAAATAATCTGTCTCCAGAAGACGACAACATATCAATCTATGGTTTTAAGCGCCTGATAAATACCTTAGGTACATATGGTGACGGGGTATAGTGTTTGTCACGTGTATATACGGCCTGCCGGAAGGATTACGTCTAGACGACCTCCCTGAAGGATCCGGAGCTTATTCTTCCATCACAAGGCTTGTGGTCCTTTTTCGCGTATTCGAAAATCCGACAATATAAAACCTCCCAAGTACTACGTTTCCACGCCTTTACACCGCGCCCGCCCGCCAGGTAGGTCGTCCTTACCTCAATCTGGTCCTACGTACTTTGCACTCGCCCGGTACTATTTCTTACACCATAGGAGGCGACGTTGTGTCTGGCGCAAGCAACTGCTCATCCTCCCTCCCAATCCCGTGGATGAGATCAATGAGGATGGGATGAGGCCAGACAGAGCCTCCAGCCAACTAGGTAGTCAGCCAGCCCCAAGATCTCCAAGTCAGACAGACCGTGGTTGTGTTGGTCGAAGTGGAAGTCGGCTTGGCTTCCTTCGCACACCAGCGACCGTACATACAGCCCGGCATCATCGCCGAGATAACGGATCAGTCCGTTTCAGACCATTAATCCCGTGTAGTCTTATACTCGTTCCAAGTCGGTCTGCCCCAGCGGGTATCATCAGTCTCTGCTCGTCTGTTCCTTGCGCTTAATCAAAACACTTTGTTGGGAGCTTGGCTGACCGACCAACAACAGAGCACGCCCATCGTCCTCCTTTATTTCTATCAACGGGATCGTGAAGTATTCCCAGAGCCAAGTCGCGGGACCACAAGGCCGTGGCGCTGTCGGGCGGCTTGGATAGTTCCAACGACGATTGGGTCTAGGTGTTTGAAGAGATTGGGCATGTTGTGATGTAAGTTTGACAAGTACATAAGTCTCGACGATCCATCCCATCTGTTCTGTCCCCTTTTCTCCTAATCACCAGTCACACTTTCAACTTTTGACTTTCAAAACCAGTTAAACACAGTTATTTGCTCACCACTTCTTATCATCCATAGAGTATTCGGTCTCATCTGGCCCCTGATTATACATTACACATACACACACACACGCACACACAAAACCACAGCCGATCTACATCTTGTCGCGCCCGCCCACAACTCCACCACAACAGATACAACCAGTCTCGTACAGCATATCTTACGGCGGCGGTGGATATTATGGCGGCGATGGATCCTATATCGGCGGCGGCGGAGGAGGGCCGCCACCTCGCACCCGAGACTACTACGCTGATCCGCCCCGTACCGACGCGGAGTGGGAGGACGTAAGTCGTATCCAGCTTCAACGTGCCCGCACGGAGGCGCACGAGCGGCGGCTAGAACAGTCTAGACAGGCCCAGGCCGCGATTCCGCCCGGCTGGCAGCAGGTCCCGATACGCGGCACGAACCAGGCGGTCGTGGGGCCCATGGTCCCGCCCCCGCGCTCCAGGCCCCAGCTGGCCATGGAGACGCAGCGGCGAGCGCGGAGTCTTTTACCACAGGGTGAGCGACGGTCGCAGTCTAGGGACCGGAGCAGGGACCGGAGAAACGGCGGTGGCCCCGGAGGCCGGGAGCAGCGGCCCTTCGACAACTAAGCGGCCGGTGTCGACACCATCAGGCAGCAGCGGCCACGCAGGCTCCAGAGGGCCTACGATAGGGCGTATGACGCCGAGATGCAACGCAGCAATGACCCTGCGCTGGCTCGAAGAGCTGGAAACGACGCAAGGGCCATGGCGGAAAGGCCTCCTGGTACTTGGTAGGTCAGGTTTATCGTGTGATTGATGGCATGGACTCGGACTGAACACGGGTAACATTACGGATCGGATCTGACGTTGGTTATGCTTGGCTTGGCTTGTTTGATCTTTTTATGATCTGGGTTTACTCTGGCGTCTCGCTTTGCTTTTTGCCCCCTGGCATTTTGGCATTGCAGTTTCTTTAGTATTGTTTTGCATGTTTACTAACTTAAGGGGTGGACAGGAGGTCTCCCGGTCTAGAAATAGGTACAAGGGGCGTTTTGGAGTTTAGGTTACTAGGATGGATATAAGGAAACAGAGAAAAGAAACATATAGATAGGTTTACAATATACACTCACTCATATTGTAGATTGCTTTCCCAGACAATCCACCCCACGTCGATCTCAGTATCAACAATATAATTCCCTCTTCTTGATACAGCCAGCTCACCCATCCGTCGGACGGTGGCAAAGGGCTAAACTATTATTAACAGGACAAGTTTTCTCATCTACTCTTTCTTAACCACAAATTCAGAATTCAAACCACAGTTGAAACCAAGAAGAGTGGAGTTCATTACCGTCCGGCGTCCGTAATAAGACGGACTGGAGTCCATAATCTAAGTGGAGGCGATCAACAAGCCGAATCCATTCCTAACCCACCGAACCGGTCTCCATAGGCATCTAACAAAGTAACAACAACGCCCGTATAGCTCAGTGGTAGAGCGCGTCACTCGTATCGCTTCCTGCTGCTTCTTGCAGAAAAGGGACAACTGTTTGCGACATGACGAGGTCCACGGTTCAATCCCGTGTGGGGGCAACTTGATATCCTTCTTGACAGGAAAGAAGGTGAGACAGATCATAACCTTTTTTTTCTTTTTTTCTCCACTTCTGTGCTTGGTTGCACTTCCGTCTTGTTGGGGATCCATCGAGTTTTTTACTTCTCTTTTTTTTATCGGTAGCTTTCTTTACAGATAATAATACTCATGAACATGCATTTCGGGGCGGAAGGACCTACAAGTTAAGGTAGTTATTTTGTTGTCATAGCTTGTCGAGAGCCGGAAGTAACCTTATTCGTTCTGTCAGCAGTTTTATGAATATATCTATCTGTCTTAACGGCGGAGGAGATAATTCCCTGGCAGCAACAACGATATCAAAATAAAAATCGTCACTTGAAATATCAGCACACACAATTTAGTCGACAACCCTTCAGTATATCCCACTACCAACAACCCCCGAAAATAAATTCGTGTATAGGCACTGAGGTAACATTCCGTATAAGTGGAATGAATTGCTCGTGGCTGAGAGACAACTTTCATTCATATCGCAACAAACAATATTCGTAAAAAGCCATAAGCAGGGAAAATACTATCAAAATATTCCTCACATCATGACGCGTACATGTATCTAGCGTGCATCATAACATCCATCCCATAACAAGCAGAGAGACAGACAGACAGAAAAGGATTCATGAACAGCATTACCGGTCCTCATGTTTTTCTCATATCACCTCCACGACCTCCTCCACCAGCACCACCATCAAGCAAAACAGCCCCTTCCCCAAAGTAACCGAGACGAGAAACAAGAAAACATCATTGACATATCATAACAGCATTGTTGTCGGTCGAGTAGTGCTTTTAATTGGTAAAGAACCGCTTGATCGCGGCCCTGATACCCGTCTTCTTCTCTTTATCCTCCCTCTCCTTCGCCCGCTGCTCCTGCCTCTTGGACCGACGAGCATACGACTCACCACCCTCGCCACTGCTGCCGGTACCAACAGTACCAGTAGTAGTAGTCGCAGTAGCCACCGATTCCTTCGTCTTGGAGCCCGAGGGGATCGAGTCCCGCGACTTGCCGACCGAGGCGACAGACTCCTTGTTCTTGTCGTGCCTGTGCGAACGACCACTGCTGCCGACCCGATCTTCGGATCGACGCAGCTTGCTCGAGTGTGTGGTGCTGGAGCGCTTGAGTTCTGGCGGCGCGACCTTGGCTGACGACGATGCCGGGAGAGTATCTTTGCTGCCACCGACAGGAATGGTTGGCTCGACTATGCTCTCGCCGTTCTTCATGTCGAAAAACCTTTTGCTGGCCGCGGGTGATGGCATCTCCAGCTTGGGTTCGGAAGTGCTCGAACGGCTGTGGCGGCGCGAGCTGCGGTGGTGGTGGTGCTCGGACGAGCGCTCGCGAGAAGACCCCGTGGGCAGCGACCGCTCCTTGCCCTTGTCGGACTTGGTAGGTGTGACAGGGGCGGCAGCAGCAGCAGCTTCCTTTGCCTTTTCGGCCTCGCGCGCAAGGCGACGTTCCTCCTTGCGCTTGTCGTGGGCGGCCTGTTCCTCGGGCGTGCGCTGTTTGCCAGAGCGGGAGCTGGTGGTATGCTCCGAGAACCCGCTGTCTTGTCTCTTGGGTGAACGGGGCGAGCCGGCGATGTCCTCGCCGGACGGGGCTGACTTGTGGCTGTCGGATCTGTGGCGATGCGAGCGTCGAGAGCTCTCTTTGCTTCCATCGCGGCCGTCTCGGCTGTCGCGGTGTGAGCGATGATGGCGCGAAGAATGGTGGCTGTGACGCCTGGGCGAGCTGCTTTTGCTTTCTTTAGCCTCATCAGGCTTGACCGTGCCAGGCACGGGGACCGGTACCGATGCGTCTCTTGCCTTGTCGTCTGCTGCTGGGTGGTCAGTAACAGAATAAAGAAGGTCGCCTTCCTGCACTGCTCCGCTGTCCCTCGGCCTCCTTCTGCCCCTCTCCTCTTCATCCTGCGTCTCGACCTCCTTCCCCTTCCCTTTCCCTTCAGAATGCATTTCAATTGGACCAAGGACGCCGTGTCCTGGGCTTTCCAGGCCCGGACTGGCGGGCGGACTAAGAACCTCAGCTGCGGCATAAAGGACCACGGCTGCGGCTACCATCTCCTCCGCCTGTTTGATGGTATTCCTGCGCTGCCGACGCAGGCTTCGGACCCGGCTCATCTTCTTAGCCAGAGGATCGTCAAGATCAGGGAGAACGACAGCAGGTGTGGGAACGCGGAACTCAGCATTGATTTCCTGGTGGAGGGTCCTGGTCCTTGTTGGGGTTGCTGGCCTTTGGGGGAGAGGGACGACGTCAGTTTGAGATCCTTCATTTGAAACAACAACCAACTGGGCAACAGATTCCTCACCACCCTCGGAAGAAGCTTCCTTCTTTTCTTTGATTTTTACAGCTTCTACCTCAGCCGGTGACTCCTTATCCACTACATGGAAGGATTCGGATAGCGGGATGCTCCTGTCAACGACTTGAAATGGCTCCGTGTCGGCCGATGAGACTGACTTAACCTCTTCAGTGAGTACCTTCTGGGACGGGCTCCCGGGTCTGGTTGGCTCTCCTGGAATGGACCTATTCGCGGGTTCGGCTTCAAGTAGGGCGGATCCGGGGGACTCCTGTTCGGCTGCATACTTTTCGAGCAGGTCTACTGTCCTTGATGTGTCAGACTCGCGGGTCGAGGAGAGCTGGTAGCCAGTGGCAGCAGCAATTCCAACTGCACTTAGAACTCCCGCCATTACAATCTCCTTGGCCCCGAAGTTGCTGTCACTGGAAGGAGGGTCGTTGGATTGCGGCTCCTCGAGGACTTCCTTGTTAGCAGTCTCAGAGGCCGTTTCTGGAACGACCTTTGTCGATTCAACATGAACGGCCTCCTCGGATTTAGTAGCCCGGCTGGCCGGAAGAGACTCATTTGCTGAGGCGGAAAGTTCCTTCGTACTAACCAGCCCTTCAGTCTCAGCACGCTTCAGAGCCTCCTCAAGCTCATTGTCGTTGAAGAACTTGTCGAAAGGATGTGCTTTGACGGCATCAGGCTTGAGCTCTGCAAGAGCCGCGGGCTCCTCCGCAGAAGTAAGTGCGTGAGTAGCAAGCTCTTCGTTTGCAGTAGCCTCAGCTGAAACAGCAGCGGGCTCAGAAATCGCCTCGGGCTGCACCTCAAGTTCACGTTCAACGATGGGAGCAGACACCTTGTCAGCAGCGGCTTCCTCGACGACGGAAGTAGGCTCTTCCACAGCAGGAGCCATCTCAGAATCGATAGGAGCGAGCTCAGGAGTGGCTGTACGCTCAACAGCAGCTAACTCTTCGACAGGAGCAGGGGAGGAAGCTTCAACTTCGGCAACAACCTCGGGTTTTTCGATAGCAGCAGGCTCTTCAACAGTCGTGGGCTCGACTGAAGCTGCCTCAGGCTCAGTAATAGCAATGGGTTCAATAGCACCCGGTTCCGTAGCAGTAGGCTCCTCAATCGCGGACTCGGCCTCAGCAACAGCCACAGTATCGGTGACAGCTGCGGGTTCCTCAACGGGAGCCACAGTCTCAACCTCGTCCTTAGCGGCAGGAGTCTCGATTTGAGCAGTGATCTCGGGCTCAGCAGCAGCTTCAGGCTCAGCAAGAGCTGCGTCAGGAATAGGCTCGGCTGAAGTTACAGGCTCGACAATAGCCTCATGCTCTGCGCTAACCTCGGGCTCGGTAGCGGCAGGGGCTTCTTTGACAGGTTCAGATTCTTCGACAGCAGCGGACTGTTCGGTAACAGGCTCGGGAGCGACCACGGCCTCGGGTACAGCTTCAGCCTCAGGAGCGGACTCGGCGACAATAACGGGCTTTTCGTCAGCAAGCTCCTCAACAGTCGAGGGCTCGACTATACCGACAGGCTCCTCTTCGACAGCGGGCTGGACCAGAACTTCAGGCTCGACGGCAAGCTTGGATTTCTGCGCGGGCTCATCGACCACAGCTTCAGCCGTAGCTTCTTGTTCAGCAACTAGCTCATCGACGGGTTTGGGCTCAGCGGCAGCCTCATTGTCAACAGCACCAGGCTCGGTATCGACGGCCGCCTTTTCAACGACGATAGGCTTTTCGCCAACGGCTGCAGGTTCTTCTGCAGCTAGCAGTTCCTCAGCGAGAACCGGCTCTTCGGTCGCGGCGGGCTCGGCGATGGGGGCCGCAGTCTCCTTGCTTGTTGGACCGTCTTCTTGGGCAGGAGCGGTTGGTGTTTCAATAATCTCGACTTCGTCTGCCACGACTGTCTTGCCTTTACTGACAAGCTTCTCAGGGACTTGCTCTTCCACTGTATGCTCTTGAGCAGCAGGCTCGTCTACTGTGGTTGACATGTCCGCAGTAGCCTCGGTGACAGTAGCTGGCTCCTCAGAAGCAGCGACGGGTTCCACAACGGAGACTGGGGCCTCATCCTTGGCTGACTCCTTGGTAGATATTAGGTGGAGGGCCTCGGTAGGATTCTTTTTGGCATCGACAGGCCCTCTGTCCACAATGGCTTGGACGATGTTAGGGGTCTCTTCAACCCCGACAGCTTCGTCAGGGCTAGCTGCCGCTTTGTCGGCAGAGGTCGGTTGAGCCACATCCTCGGGAGCCACTTCGGTCTTGAACAGCTCATCCTCAACGGCGGTCGGAGCAGCGACCGAGGTCTCGGTCTCCGGGACTGTGAGAGACTCTTCGACAACGGCGGACTGTTCAGTCTGGCTGGGCGCCTTCTCGACGTTGGGAACCTCATCAACCTCAAGCGGCTGCTCAACCTCAACCCAGTCATCGTCAATGGCTGCTGGCTCAACAGCCGCAGTAGACTCTTCGATTGTCTTTTCGACCTCGGCGGACTCCTCAGCCATCACAGTATCAGCGTTGATAGCAGCGGGGCTGTCTGTTGTGGTGGTCTCAGCAGACTCGTCCATTTCGTCGGCCACAACGCGCTCGGCAGCTTGAGCTGTCTCTTCAACAGGATCCTCCTCGGCGGGAGCCTCTTCGACACGAGTCTCAACTACAGGAGTCTCTTTGATAGGAGTCTTCTCGACGGTAGTCTCTTCGACA